TATAGAATCTTTTCCTCTCGCAGTTACACCGCCATTACATCTCGCTCGCGGTTACACCACCATTACATCTCTCTCGCGGTTACACCGCCATTACATCTCTCTCGCGGTTACATCGCCATTAAATTTCTCTGACTATGGAACTTAATCAAAATTCAGTCGGATATGGAAATCCGGTCATTACTGTCCGGATATGAAATACGGTCAATGACTTAGAACCAAAAAGTGATAATCCGGACAAGGCTTGAGCGATATAGCTCTAAACCGGATAATACTTGAGCGGTTTATGGCTAAATCGGACGACTTATGAGCGGTTTAGATATATTCGGACATCCCTTGGCCGGTTTAAAGGAAATCCGGTTAACACTTGAGCGATTTAAGAAGATATCCAGTTGTCTCTTGGGCGGTTTAAGGTAAACCCGGACACCCCTTGTCCGATTTAAGCTCGAATCCAGACAACACTTGACCGGTTAAGATGAAGTCCGGTCAACACTTTTCCGGTTTAAAATGGTAATCCGTAGAATATATATGTGATTCAAAATAAGTCAATTTCAATAACAATGAATTGTATACCAACAATTATTACTCAAAGCACAACACACTCACCTTAAAAACCGAATCCTGTTTGAAACTTGGGATCCCTTTTCAATCTATGAAGAAAAGATGAAATATGGAGAGTGTTCAAAGATCAACTAAGCCTTTTTACTTTCACTATACTTACTATATATAGTAAGTTGTAAAATCAAATAAGTTGTGCACACATCAACCGACTTTCCACCTCCCTCTATTCTTCTTTTCTTTATAATACTAATAAACCAAAATTTACTTTTCTTCCACTATCATTGGAATTCAAAAGTTGTTAATTGGAATAACCCGAAGTTAATTATCTAATTAACTGATTAACACAACCCGAATATTACAGAACATGCAACGTATTCTACGTTATTTGCTTCGGTGCATCTACTGATGTGAAGGACTGATTCCAAACCTTCGATCCATGTCAATAATCCTACCGCTCCCTCAGTTCCGTGGAATTCCTTTGGGTTGCATGATCTAAAGGATTTGTAGGTGCATTCTCTAGGTGTCCTAGACCCTGAATTGGTTGGTTGGTTAGCATTCAAACATGCTGCTACTTGACTGACAATATTTGGGAGTGCCACTAATAGTTGTTCAGATACAAGTCGTGCAACCTCGGGATTCTCTCTCCTTGGAGGCATTTTCTAGAGCCTAAATCAAATGGGAATCTTGTTATTTTCATAGCAATACCGATGACAAACAATTTCTACTCAGCTAAATGATGCATAAGATATTCATCTCGATGTTAACATTCAAATATTCACATGATCATACAGAATAATTTCATATTCAACAAAGATTCGATCATGTATATGCAATTAAGCATTTTCAAAAGATGCCCAAAAGTTTGCAGTTGATTACATCCCACAAAAACAAGAACTTAGGTTTCAACAAAAAGGGTAAGAGTTTCTAATACTAGTCATCATTTCTAAAGCAGCATCCTGCATATCAGTAACCCTAATATCAGCACCACCAGTACACTCACCACCATATATTTATATAACTTCCTAATCTCTCATCTAGTAGCGATGACGGCATCCAAAGTCCTCATCATGCACTAGTCGTGCATCTCCAAAACATCTGACAAATTATTCAAGATATAGTGGTGATAGCCCAGTCGGGTTTGGTGAGTATGAGACTCTAATGCAATACCCCGCACCCAGTCTAGTTCATCGAAAGTCATACCCTGAGTTTATGATACAGGTACCCTGGTCACCACTTGAGACGCCCCATTCCTATGTCGCGATTGGGATGACTCTCCCCTAATTCTAGTGGAGTTCTCAAAAGTCACGCACCTTGGGAGTGGAATGCTCCTCCTAGCAGTAACTCCAACCCTCAAACCTTGAAGCATCTGATGTGGAATATCTGCCACTGGCCCTGACATAAATGGGGGCAGTACCGAAGTATGTGATGAGACGGGGGTCTCACTAATCGCAGCATCCTCATGCTCAGACGGGTCCTCCTCTTCATCGGTTGACGGGTTCCTTCTTGGTCGACTGGTAATATAGCCGGATTCATCGGCCGAGTACCCACTAGGAACAGACGACGACATAGTGAACTGCGATATTAACAAACTTAATTAGTTAGTGTACCATCTATAAGTGCTTAGTGTTAGGACAAAAGCTACTAAGCAAAGACTAAGGATGGAAAACAGGCTAGAGGCTCTGGACGACCAGAGCTTCTGGTTGCATTACCAGAGCTTCTGGTTGCATTAACAGAGCTTCTGGTTCAAATTCCCATACTTGGAACAATAATGGGTTTTCAGTCCGTTGGTCTCTGGTTCAACATACACACTTAGCAAACTAATGGATTTCTAGTCCATCGGCCTCTGGTTCAACATACACACTTAGCAAACTAATGGATTTCTAGTCCATCGGACTCTGGTTCAACATACACACTTAGCAAACTAATGGATGTCTAGTCCATCGGCCTCTGGTTCAACATACATACTTAGCAAAATAATAGATTTCTAGTCCATCGGCCTTTGGTTCATCATACACACTTAGCAAACTAATGGATTTCTAGTCCATCGGCCTCTGGTTCAGCATACACACTTAGCAAACTAATGGATTTATAGTCCATTGGTCTCTGGTTCAACATACACACTTAGCAAACTAATGGATTTCTAGTCCATCGGCCTCTGGTCCAACATACACACTTAGCAAATATTTTCCTTTTGAGGACCAGAGCCTCTGGTTCTTCTAACCAGAGCTTCCGGCTCACAAGAACAAGCCAATCAGAACTTCTTGACACCCTCCACTCATAATGCTAAGTGTCCTTTAACCAAAGCTATAATGCAGAGCTCAATTTCTAGTTCTCAAGGGAAATCTCATCTAATACAAAGTACGAGTATTTGGATACAGAGGTTATGAAGACTAGAACCTTACGCCTACGTCTAATCACCAAGTATTCGGATACAGAGTTGACCCTCTGGTTGACTTAGTGCTCTAGATGTTAAGGGTTTGTGCAGACACACACAAGTTCATGCTTTCGATGTTTTAAATAAAATTCATAAGTTGAGCATGTTTCCAATATAACTGATTCGAATTTCCTATTATACATAAACTAAACATAGGTGATCAGGCTTTGTTTAATAGACGTATAATATTGTGACACTCATCTTTCGGTTATACTAGTGACATGCTTTGCATATATATATATATATATATATATATATACTAGTGGTATACCCGCGCGATGCAGCGCGGGTGAATCACAATTCTGAAACATTAGTTTATCCTTGAATTATAAGTTTGTGTGGTTATTTTGCAAATCAACTAATATATAAAATTGAAGGTTAATACGATTTATTAACAAGATCGAATGGAAAAATAATTGCACACGTATTGGGTTTCTAAACHCATATACTCAGAACTCATTACAAAAATTTGAATTTAAATTTAGTTGAAGTCTGAGAAAACCTCCAAAAGCTGAGACCATGAAACATTTTTGAGAAGATGTTTTATCAGGYCTAAAGCTAAAAAGGGGAGGAAATAGAGATGAAAGGAATAAAGCAAAACTAAGACTTTCAGTTTGGGTGATATTGATGGTGTTGTATTAAAAACTTGTACATCATGCTTTATGAGTTGTAATTAAAAGATTTTTAAAATTTTTGCATAAAATGATTGTACCTTATGCTTAAATACTTGTACTTAAGACTTTGGTTTAAATGCTTGTTATTATGTTTGTCTGTAGGATGGGACAAGAATAGCATCTATCAATGAATTGGATATTTAAAGAATGAAACTTGCACCCTTACCCATTATTTTATGTCGACTTAATTGCATTTTTACCTACTAATTTTCTCCTTACATTCCTCTTTGTACATATCAATATAAGAATTTACTTTTTTTACATTTTTCAATGCAATAAAATTAGTTTTATAGGACGTCGAAAATGTCTAAGCATCCTAATAAAATATTTTATAAGACTTAAGTTTATATGAACAAASCAAAAAAACATCCTATCTGAAAATGTTACAATAGATTTATAGACACTTTAACGTGTTTTAACAAGTTTTTTTTACAATACTTCACAAATAAAATATGGTATTAGCTATTTTATGACAATATTTGAAAAAATAGCCTATATAAAGATGAGTTTATAAGATATTTCTCAAAAGTGTCCTATAAAAATAGTTAATAGAACATTTTTTTTAAAAACGTCCTAAAAAACTTGTTAAGATGCCTAAAGGCGTCCTATAAAACTATTATAATGCTTTTAGATAGGATGATTTATAGTTAGGGGCCGTTTAATGTTTTATGGTGACTTCTTGAGTTTGAAACCTTCCAAAAGATATCCACAGAGATGGATTGAGAGAGAAAAGACAATAGCAATAGGGTTTACATAGAAAAGACAAAAGATGTCAATTCTACAATTTTCAATGTCTATATAGGTCTATAATACACACCATCTACTTTTTACTGTTGATTGCTTATGGATTATAGCAGCAACAATAGCAACAGCAAGAAAAGATGAAACAATTTTCAGGTGAAAGCTATAAATATATAAGGAAGAAAAAAAAGCAAGAAAGAATGGTTTGAAATTACTACATGGGTAGAAGAAAGCTCTAAAGAGAGATAAAAAAAGCTTCAATTAAAAAAGTGAAACTGAAAGTTTCAACTTTGGTGGTGTTAGTGGTTGTACTTTCATAGTTTTTTGAATTTTATGTATAAAATAATTGTACATTGTGCTTTATGACCTATGTTTAAGAGTTTTTTGAATTTGTTGCATAAAACTATTGTAACTTATGCTTAGTGACTTGTACTTAAACTTTGTCTTAAATGGTTATATATGTAGTATAGATATAGATATAGAAGATATAGATATAGATATAGATATAGATAATTTTTCTTTTTTCTTTTTTCATTTTTTTTAACTCGGGAACCGAGTAAAAGGGGAAAAGGAAAAGAAAAAAAAAATTCCAAAATTTGTTTATTCCTTCATGCTTTCTCTTTGAAAAGAGAAGCTAATCCGGTGACCACTAATTTACTTCCTCTCTCCACATTCCTCGGTTTTATCRCCGGCGGTTGCCATATCCTCGCCGCCGACGAGTCAAAACCGTCATCGGATTTTCTCAATGGCAAAACACCGGGTGAAGATAGTTGACTTGTCTCCGTCGTCTGCGACRGCGTCTTTTCCTCTCCAAAAATCAGCTCAAAAATTCCGCACTCCGGCGCGAACTCCGGTGTAGAAACGGATGACGATTTTTTGTATTCGCTGGAAAATATCTGTTTCGGTGAGGCGTTGGCGTTCGGTGTTGGCGGTGGAGTTGCAGACAATTGATGCGAACATGGAGAGAAGAAAGTCAGTTGGAACAAAATCGCATTTAGATATGGGTGGGTGAGAGGCATCTTTTGATTTTACATTTACACCCTTAAAMTTTGACTAACTTACAAAAAAGTCGTTTTCTTTTTCCTACTACACTGTTTTGTTGACCTTAKAAAATTGTGCAAAGTGATGGTGGACCACATGGTGTTCCCTCACTTTGACTGAACAGCCAAACCGGTCAAACTTGTCGGTACCGGCGTTGGAGCGTGATGGTGACGGTGTTGGTGTTCTCCGTCATATGTTACCAGAAGCATCTTTGAATCGTTTAACGCCAACTCCACACCCTTTCTCGCCGGGCATCCTTTTCCGGTATTGCACTTGTAATAAACTCTGCACATTTAATATCCAAATCGAAATCAATATCTATGATGATCGYAGAATTTTTACGATTACTCTATGAATCGGTTTTGATTCGTAGATAATTGAAGAAATCTTCAGTTAATTACCTTGGATATGGTGATCCGTCGATCTTCTTCTCGCCGTACTTCTTCCAYGAGTAATCGTCKRCCGGTATGCTTGTGACCTTTGATCCGATAATCGGTACCCTCCGTATTTCACGTTTTGATCCGATTTTCCTGAGAGCGAAAGGGGAAAAACGTATTAGGTAATGAATTATTAAGCGTAGGATAGATATTTGTGACGGTTTTTTGCTAAAAATAAACGGTTTTTTGCTAAAAATAAACGGTTTTTTGCTAAAAATAAACCTTCTCTTGCAACAACGACAACCGCTTCGAGAAACCGAATGGTTCTCCCTTCCAGATCCGTGTAAGGAAGCCGTAGGACGGTCTGCGCTACACCTTTTCCGGTGAGTCGATGGTAGAGGCGGTTTCCTAGATGAAAACGTCGGTGCCGGAGCTACTATACCTAATGATGAAAACTGTTCACCGATTCCTAGGAGCTCAGCCCAAAAACCTTTATTTGATGTCGGTCGGTCTACTCCTACTTTCGCACACATCTCGTGAAAATGTTATATGAAAGCATCTTGCGAATATCATTCTGCATTTAGCTTATCCTGTCAGATCTGTTCTTCTTACTGTGTAGAAGAAGCCATTGGATTCAACAAATTGATAACTTTCTGGGTGCCTCTCATTAAAGCTGGAAACTTGTTCCTGTAATTGTTATCAAAATTTATGGAAGTTGTTAGATTCACATGAAGTAGAAGATGAACATAAAATTTAATCAAATTGGGAACTGAGTTTTTTTGTACCTTTTGCAGAAAAGATTATCAAGGATGGAGATTGAAGCAATCGCAAGAATCARTGATARATTGAGATTAAGGCCTGAGTGATGGATAGAGAGAGATGCAGTGATGAATCTTCTGAGATGAGGAATTGTTGTTTTGAGTAAGGGATGAGAGTGTCTTGAGAATGGGATGAGCCTGAATCAGTCATTATTGAGGGAAGGCTCTCACAAGCTCTTCAAGCATCATTTCAAATTTCAATTTTGAAATTTGAAATTTGAAATTTGAAATTTGAAATCTAAAATTTGGTGGTGATGATGGAGGGGTTAAAGTCAATGCATCAACAAGTTGTACAATATGCTTTATAACTTGTTCTTAAGGGTTTTTTGAAATTTATGCATAAAATGGCAGTACTTTGTGTCTTGTTGTTTGTAATTAAGATAAGTGTCTAAATGGTTATATATGTAGTATAGATATATATATATATATATATATTTAAATCATTTTGGAAATTGTTTTCAAAGTATTTGGTTATAGTTTGAGGTTTTTAGGAAAAACCGGTGTTCTCTATAACCTGAGGCTCTGATACCAAATCTGTCACACCCCGCTAAGCGGAAACACTAGATGTAACAGCTAAGCGTTTCATAGCACCAAATAATATATAACACCATTAAAATTTACAATCCAAAAATTTACAAATCCATAACCAAACTCTCTCAACGAAGACAGTATCATTTGCCAAAATTTATTTCTAGAATTCGTTAGCAGGTGTTATCGCAAAAGTGCATCCATGACGTCAGTTCTTACTTAATTTCCTAAAAAGCATGAAACATAAAATGACGTCAACTACAAAGAGTTGGTGAGTTCACGGGTGTTTACATGCACAAAAGTACTTTACAATGCATAAAATTCATTCTTGCAAACTATTTATGAAAAACTTGCACAAGGTAAAATGAAAAATTTTAACGATGTTTATGCTTGAGCCACTACAGAACCTTACCTGATCAATATGCCCCTTATATTATTACGAACCACCTTAAAGTGGCCCCCTTGCTCACTTAGGTATAACGGTCTGACTTAGAACTACTTCAGCGGTGGCCCGTTTGCACACATGTGTAGATCTACTAAAATTAAGTAATGTGCACCCGTTTTTTGGTGGGAATGTCAACACAATAGCGCTATCCACAATTACTACGGCCCGACACGTTCCCGAGTTAACTAGTAGTGTTCACGGAGGGGACTTTTTATATTATCACTCAAGTACATCAATTTATCATTTATACCATAGTGCAACAATAGTCAATTTTTCATGACTTCAATAGTAAAAGCATTAAAAGTGGGGCCGTGGATACGCACCGGTTTGCTAGCGACTAACCAGGAACTTGATGGCGTTGAGGTACTAGACGTCTAGCCTTAACTCTCCTAAAACGTCTAAAATCCAAAGTTAGTTCACCTATCGGGTCTCGATAAAGATAAAAGTCAAATTATATCTTATGTAATGTCAACATGTTTTTATGAATTTAAGTTGATATTTATATAATTAGTTCTTAAAATAGTTCAATATTCATATATTTCAAGTTTAAAGTCCTTTGTACATAAAAGTTATAATTCGGACAGAAAATTAATTCTGTTTATGAAATTTTTGGTCTCACAAATCATTGTCAAAAGGTACCTTCCATAATTCATTTTGTTTCCAAATTTTATACCGAAAACGTCACTGTGTTAAACACATTTTGCCCAAATTTCACACATTTTGGAAGTCTTTTAGTCATTCAAATATCAAACACATTTTGCCCAAATTTCACACATTTTGGAAGTCTTTTAGTCATTCAAATGTCAAACACATTTTTACATCTCAAAACAGTCTAGACAGATTGCACCCTATCAAATTTGGGGTCAAATGGAAGGTCTAAACTTAATTTTTTTCAACGATTCCACATGGATTGTAAACTTAACTCATAAACAAAGCTTCCAAAAGAAAAATTACACATTCTTATTAATTTTTGAGAGAGTTATGCTACTTTGAACAAGCATGTAAGTTTCTATTCGAAGTTATCTTTTTGCACCATAAACTTGTATAAAAAATTTAAGGGGTCAAAACTCAATATTTTCACATGATTCCGGTAGGAATAAAACCCAAACTCAAAGAAGTAAACTTTCAAAATAAGAATAATAACATTTGGACTATTATTTTGGGATATATGGACGACAAAAGTGCTAGTAAGTAATCTATCAGCGCCAAAATACCACTTTTGAAGGTTAAAATCCACATGCATTGTGGTTTTACCCTAATTTCTTGAGTTCTAAGACTATAGGTCATGGATTATCACCATTGTGAAGACTTTTTTCTTGTCTTTGGTGTATAATCTACCATCTAGATACTCTAGAAATTTGAGTTAAAAAGAAGAAAAAAATGTGTAGAAAAAGATGAGAAATGATGTTTAAAATACTAAAACAATGTAACTAACTCTTTATCTTTGTTGTTAGCACTTTGATTCCTTCAATGTTCTTCAAAAATGATTGAAACTAAGGGGTTTTATTTTGAATTTTCGGCTGAACTGGTTTTGGGCAGAAGAAGGGACACTTAGAGAGAATTCTAGGTGGTTTTGTATGGAAAATGAGCTAAAAGTGGGAGGAAATCAAAGAGTCACCTAGTTTTATATGTGGGCTTGTGAGTCCCTAACAATGATCAATCTTCAATATAGCTCCATAACCATGGCAGATCTGATAAATCTTCAATAACAATATAAGATGAACTTTGAGAGAGAAAGTCAACAATAAAAGCTTTGGTCAAACCCTCTTATTACGTAATCAGATTTACAATGAAGCTCTTGTTAGCTCTCATATTTCATTTAATGTAAAAGTATGAAAAAGTACTACTGCAAGTGTTGACAGAAGAGGTCTACCACAGAAGACCACAGA